TACAGACATAATAATGAATAAAAGAACCCAAAATCTCTCACTCTTATCTTATAGAAGCTCACACTCTTTTGGAAGATTTCTAATGCAGAATGACAGATCATAAGAGAAGTTCTGAAGCAAAAAAATGGGTTTTGTTTCATTTATGTCAAGATGCGTTAATGACTAGAATACTAGGGAACAGTATTTGGAGAACCATCAGTTTAGGAAACACACAGCACTGAACACAGTGACCCTGCTTTCAGCCAATCTATCTCTTAATGTCATCACTGCCCTGTGGAAATTTCGTACATAATGTAAAAAGAAGCTAAAGGGCAGACAAAAAATATGACATTGGAGGGCTTAGAGGACACCACAAAGCATGCTAGGAAGAACTGGGGGAGTGGTGGTCGTGGCTTCAGGAATAGAGGACAGAGCTCTGCTAGCCCCAACAGGGGAGGAGGTCTCACCGAATTGTAACAGAAGTGTCACAGGATTGAAAGTGAGTCATCTCCACTCTCAGGACCAGATAAGGACCCAGGTGACCAGATCTAGGGATGGAGCAGGAAGCAACCAGGAAAGTGGCCCAGGAACAAGATCAGCATGAGGAAAATACCTAATGAATCCAGTGCCCTGGGAAATCAAGCACCCAGTCTGAAAGGACTAGGTAGGCTCCTGGTAGCTCCAGGAAGCTCTTCCCAGGATTCTGTGACCCAAAGTATCAAAAAGACACCTTAGCCCTTTGCCCCAAGGAACAAAGAACTGATGATGACTTCTAAGTCCAGCTGGATTTCAATTATAGTCCACATTAACTCTTCCATTCAGTCCTTTTCATTGAGTCTGGAACTTCCAGACAAGCAGACACCAAAGACACCAAAATGACTTTAAAAGTAGCAGCTGGCACCTATACCCCAACTCAGCAGTTCCTTTCCCAACTACCAACTTCAATATTCTTTGCTCATTATTCCTTTGATTTCTTCGCTCATTTTGATGCCCTCATTCCACTGGGTCCCTCTGGGACTATTGGTCTAGTTTGGAGCAGTGACCCCAGCTTAAGCCACTGCCTATTCTACATGATGGTCGGAATTTGCTCATCAGTTAAGTGCCTGACCCAGTGTCCCAGGTTGGCCCTCTCTTCCCCTGTCTCAGACTCTTAGGACAGGGAGAAGAGACTTCTTCAACCCTTCTATGGTGATGGGGTGAGAAAGCCTGGGATTAGCTACCCTGACACGGGATGCAGGCCCATGGGACCCATGAGAATGGATGGAGAGAGAGCCAGCAAGTATGTATGCCAAAAGGGCTCGTGCCCTATGCAAAATGACCAGACATTCAGGAAAGAGAACAGAAACTCTGGGCTCACAGCTGCTTTTGGAGAGAAGCATTATGGGAAGGGATTTGTTATTTGTGGAAGACTTTTATTTGGTGGTGGGAAAAGAATGACAAATATGTAACACAATATTTCTGTAACTATAAATAATATGTAAATGCCATTCATAATGAAAACCTTATGGAATCTGCTTTTCTGAGAGGCTTTTAAAATAGGAAAGGGCAAGGGAGGGAAATAATATGTATTTAACCCATACGCTATGCTAAGTGCCTTCCATATGTTGTTTGTTTACCCCTCTCACTTCTCAGAGGGTTGGCTTCCCATTTTCTAGATGAGAACGATGAGCTACAAGAGGCTAAGGAACTTAGCCAAGGTCTCACAGTGAACTCCAGTTCCACAATAGATCTGTCAGAAACTGTTAGAGATTGAATTGCGTCTCCCCTCCCCCTCCACACACACACACACACAAAGTGATGACTCTACTGGGAAATAGGGATTTGCTTTTGTTATGTTAATGAGGTCAGGCCACAGTAGGGGGGGTCCTAAAACTCATTACATTTGAGTGGTGTCTTATATGGAGCAGTACAGACACAGAGACACACTCAGAGATGGGGGATGTTATATGATGATGGAAACAGATGCATCTAGAAGCAGCATAGGACATCAAGGATCGGGGCAGTCGCCAGAAATAAGGAAAGAGGTCCACAGAAAGAATTGGCAAGTGATTTGGACTTTTAGGCTCCAGAACGAAGAGAAAAACCATTTCTGTTCTGGAAGTTACCCACTCACCTGGAGTAATGGAAGCACTAGATAATTAGGATTCCAAACTCTTGCTCTTTCTGGAAAT